CCCCCCAAAAAAATGCAGTTGCAGACGTCTCTGGTATCATTGGCAAAAACTTAAACTGTTCCCCTATTTTACCATGTCAGTTTATATTTTAAAAATCCTCTTCCACTGCATAGCACATGCTGTTCAAATTATTTGTACTCTGTAAATCCTTTGAAGATCTGATTTGCCTCATAGTTGATAACTTCCATCATCATTGTAGGAGCCCTGAATTCTTTTGCTCTGTCTTAACATCTGCTTTTCCACTAGAATCCCCTCCCTCCTCCTATGTCTTATTTCCATTTTGATTGTCCTGGAATATGGAGTTCAAAATAATCTGCAGTCTAGTTCACCTGTCATCTATTTCTTTGGTTTCTGCTAGTTTCTTTTGCAAAAGAACTCCTGCTCGTGTGTGTGTGTGTGTGTGTGTGTGTGTGTGTGTGTGTGTGTGTTTGAGTCAATTACTGACTGGGGAGCAGAAGGGAAGAGGAAGCTAACAAACTCTAACCTATCATACAAGTGAGAGATGAACACCATCACCCTTGCTGCTTAGGAAAGAGCTGAGAGAGAAGGCAATTACAGCCTGGCCAGTCAGTCTTATCCTCCAACTTAGCCACTCACTCTGCCCTCCTTTTGGAGGTGAGAATTGGAAGTAGTTTCTGAAGGGCAGGAGGACTGTAGGCTAGTGTCAGAGAACCAAGGTGGAAATGATCTCCAGAGGGAGTAAGGAGATAAGCAGCAGGAGTGGGAGACCCCAGTCTTGCTGCTGCATAGGCAGAGCTGTGAAGGCACATGAACCTAACTACCCCTGATCCACTCAAGGTGTTATCTGGGTCCTTTATTATAAAAACAGGATTTATAGCAATGTAGGGGCCTTTTTATGGTTGGGGCATGAGGAAGACAGGAAATGGAAAGACTGTTTAATCTATATTGTTAACCCACTAGTTTGTCATTTTTTTTCTATATACAATAATTGTGTCATTGCTCCCATCTCCCCAGGACTTACCTTTAGAACAGTCATAGGCTGGGTGCAGTGGCTCATGCCTATAATCCCAGCACTTTGGGAGGCCAAGGTGGGCTGACCACTTGAGGTCAGGAGTTCAAGACCAGCCTGGCCAATATGGTGAAATCCCGTCTCTACTTAAAAATAACAAGAATTAGGCTGGGCACGGTGGCTCATGCCTGTAATCTCAGCACTTTGGGAGGCCGAGGTGGGTGGATCACCTGAGGGTCATGAGTACAAGACCACCCTGGCCAACCCAATCTCTACTAAAAATACAAAAATTAGCCAGGTATGTTGGATCATGCCTGTAATCCCAGATACATGGGAGGCTGAGGCAGGAGAATTGCTTGAACCCGGGAGGAGGAGGCTGCAGTGAGCTGAGAGGGGCACCATTGCACTCCAGCCTGGACAACAAGAACCAAAACTCCATCTCAAAACAACAACAACAACAACAAGAATTAGCTGGGCATGGTGGCAGGAGCCTATAATCCCAGTTACTCAAAAGGCTGAGGCACAAGAATTGGTTGAACCTGGGAGGTGGAGGTTGCAGTGAGCTGGGATTGAGCCACTGCACTCTAGCCTGGGCAACAAAGTGAGACTGTGTCTCTGGGGAAAAAAAAACAACAGCACACAATTGTTACCTCATATATGATAAAGAGACTGGCTCTGGAGTTGGGCTTCAAACAGCTATTCAATTCATAGCAATTTAAAATACCATGTAACAGGCTTGGAGCTAAAAAGCACTTCTCACAGCACAGAAGTAGGACCATCTTATCCCACATTGTTCTAAAGAAGGTTGTAAAAAGCATTGCTATTTCTCTCTGTCTTTCTATGTTGAAGCTGCAGACATGAGATTTGATACAGCCTCAGTCCTTGCATCTCCTACTCTCTCAACAGGCAGATGACCTCAGCAACCCCTTTGGACAAATGAGCCTTAGTCGCCAAGGTTCTACTGAAGCAGCTGACCCATCTGCAGCTCTATTTCAGACCCCACTTATCTCCCAGCACCCTCAGCAGACTAGCTTCATCATGGCTTCCACGGGTCAGCCCCTCCCCACTTCCAACTATTCCACCTCTAGCCATGCACCACCTACTCAGCAAGTTCTGCCACCCCAGGGGTACATGCAGCCCCCTCAACAAGTAAGCAGCTCCAGTTCCCAGCTTAAATCACTTTATTCAGTTTGTCTAGTATTATACCTTCTCTATTCCTCTAGTTTAGACATATCAGAGGGGTTACCTCTCTCTGCCTTGCACTTGAGAGTTGTTCTAGCCAGAAATTCTTCTTTCTATATAACATAAATTCTTGTTTTACTTAAAACTTGTATACCAGTCCTACAATGGTGGTCCAAAATATCTCCCTTAACATATTTCTGGCCATGAATCTTGAGGCATTTATGCTGATGTTGGAGCTGAATTTTAGGGACTTCTCACACGTGTCTCTTCTCACCATAGATCCAGGTTTCTTACTATCCCCCTGGACAATATCCTAACTCCAACCAGCAATATCGACCTCTCTCTCACCCGGTGGCCTACAGCCCCCAACGTGGTCAACAGCTGCCTCAGCCATCCCAGCAGCCTGGTAAGAGAAACCACTTGTGTAAGAAGGTAGTAAACAGGGGAAGGGCAGAGTAGGAAAGAGAGAAGTACCTTCTCCATTAAAATGAAGGTGGGTCTAGGGGCAGGAATGATTAGGGTCTTAAGAACAGACTTAGGATCTCCAGAAAAAGAAAAGGTAAAATAGAATGGAGAAGGGAAATTACAGCTAGAGTGTGACCTCCTAAACATTCATACAAATGTATTTTCTGCCTTGCCCGTCTCTAGGTTTACAGCCCATGATGCCTAACCAGCAGCAGGCGGCTTACCAAGGCATGATTGGGGTCCAGCAGCCACAGAACCAGGGCCTGCTCAGCAGCCAGAGGAGCAGCCTGGGGGGCCAGATGCAAGGCTTGGTGGTTCAGTACACTCCACTGCCTTCTTACCAAGTGGGTACATTCTGCATTGGGAAGGATCACTCCAGTCTTTGGGATGAGGAAAACAAGAGCCTCTCAGGGTCATGCATACTAGAAACTCCAATACTAAAATACTGTCTACTATCCCCCAGAATTTTTAGGGCTTTTTTCCCATGACAGAAAGCCCATGGAGTTTGAGAACAGTCTTTAAATTGTTTGGGCTTTATACAAACATGCAATGAATATATGCCTGGGAAAGTAGTAGCTATAGAAAATCAGGTTCTTTTCTTTATGTCAGAAGCCTAAGGGTGGTATTTGGAGAAGGCAGAAATAGAGACAGCTCTGGAAACATTTTCTTTAGGCAGATGGGGAGAATAGGAGGAGGCTCTAAGGTAGGGAAGGAAGTTGTAATGCCCTGACCTAGTGATGACTAGGCTGTTTCTGGATGAGCTTAATGCGATTATGAGTAGTCATTCTCTTTTCTGTCTCACCCAGGTTCCAGTAGGTAGTGACTCACAAAATGTGGTCCAGCCGCCTTTCCAGCAACCCATGCTGGTTCCTGCAAGCCAGTCTGTGCAAGGAGGCCTCCCAGCAGCGGGGGTACCAGTGTACTATAGCATGATCCCACCTGCTCAGCAGAACGGTACAAGGTAAGGACTCCCAGAGAGCCTGGACATCTACCATAGACCTTCAACAATGGTTACATCATGGGTTTGTTCCCTAAAGCAGGTAGACTGTGAGGGAGTTCATTCTCCTTTTTTCTTTATTGATTTGCCATTTGCAGAAGAAGTTATCAGCAAAAAAAAAAAATTCCTGCTTCAGAGATTTATAATTTATGATTTCCCCACTTTTATTTTTTAAAACAATGGACTCAGAACTAGAGGATAGAGACTGCTCATCATTAAGAGAAGAAATTTTTTTGGACTGTGATGTGTAAATTTTTTCATGTACCTCTGTTTTGTATCTATAGATGAAACTGATGATGTGTCTATCTATCTATCTATCTAGATAGATAGATATATACACACCTGAGTATAGTTGATAGCAAATAGAATTTTTAGTGGTAGATAGCAGCTTAGAAATCATCTAGTTCACTCCCTTTGTTTTATTTTTTTCTCATTTTTAAATGAGGAAATTCCAGCTAGGACTGTTAAAAAATTTACCTAAATTCACGTAGCTAGTTAGAGGCAGAGGTGGAACAAGAACTGGAGTCTGGGCAACTCTATATGTTTCTGTGTGCCTGTCTTCTAGTGTATGTGCATTTACCTTTGTCTTTTTCTATGTATGTCTCCATGTTGTTTTGAGTTTTGTGGGTTTTTTTTTTTTTCTATTTGTCTTTATGTGACTATGTGACTGTATTTGTTTTTGACTTTTTTTTTTTTTTTTGGTCTTTTTGTGGAGAACAGGGTCTCGCTATATTGCCCAGGCAGGTATTGAACTCCTGGGCTCAAGCTATCCTCCCGCCTCTGCCTCCCTAAGAGCTGGAATTACAGGTGTGAGCCATAGCATCCAGCGACTTTTTTTGGGGGTCAAAAATAATTAGCAATTGTGTGTGTGTGTGTGTGTGTGTGTTTTAACCCATCTCTCTCTTGCACTCTATGTCTGTGTCTGTGACAGTCTCTTTATCTGGGTTTCTGTTGTGTTTCTTGGAATCTGTGTGTGTACATATGCGTATGTATGTGTGTCTGGTGTTTCCACAGTATTGGGAAAAGCATGTGTCACTAATATTCCATCTGTAGCAATGATTAGCAGCTTCCTAATTGAAAGATGATCAAGTACAAATATATATAATTAACTTTGAACTGATGAGTGATTTTAGAAATTGCATGGCAAATTGGTCTGGGAATGGCTTGAAGCTGCCTCTGCTTCCCATAGGGGAGGACCAGGAAGCAGCAGCTGTTTGCCAGGAGCTGTGTTCATCCCTCCACTGCTTCAGCACTCCTCTCTTCTCTGTCTTCCCAGCCCTTCTGTAGGGTTTCTGCAACCCCCTGGCTCTGAGCAGTACCAGATGCCTCAGTCTCCCTCTCCCTGTAGTCCACCACAGATGCCACAGCAGTACTCAGGTAAGAGGATAAAGAATTGGGGGTCTTGGGCACTGGCAAGAGCAAACACTGCTGAAGGGCTTATGCTCTAGAGCTGGGAAGGGCAAAAAGAGTTCAGGTATCAGGTCTATCCCCACTGTGACTCCATCACAAAGAAAAACCAAAGTCTTGACTGGTGTTTCCATGGCTGGTGTTTTCTTGAAGCTGACCTCTCAAGATATGATGTTGGGGCCAGGCACAGTGGCTCACACCTATAATCCCAACACTTTGGGAGGCCCAGTCAGGCAGATCACTTGAGCTGAGGAGTTTGAGACCAGCCTGGGAAACATAGCAAGACCTCAGCTCTACTAAAAAAATTTTTTTAAAGGCTAAGTGGCTCACGCCTATAATCCCAGCACTTTGGGAAGCCAAGGGTGGATCACTTGAGCCCAGGAGTTTAAGACCAGCCTGGCCAGCATGGCGAAACCTCATCTCTACTAAAAATACAAAAATTAGCCAGGTGTGGTGGTGCATGCTTGTCATCTTGTTACTCGGGAGGCTGAGGCACGAGAATCACTTGAACCTGGTAGGCAGAGGTTGCAGTTCATGCCACTGCACTCCAGCCTGGGCAACAGAGTGAGACTCTGTCTCAAAAACAAAACAAAACAAAACAAAAATTACAGTTGGACGCGGTGGCTCATGCCTCTAATCCCAACACTTTGGGAGGCTGAGACAGGTGGATCACCTGAGTTCAGGAATTTGAGACCAGCCTGGCCAAAATGTTGAAACTCCACCTCTACTAAAAATACAAAAATTAGCTGGGCATGGTGGTGTGCACTGGTAATCTCAGCTACTCAAGTAGCCGAGGCATGAGAAATGCTTGAATCCAGGAGGCAGAGGTTGCTGTGAGCCTAGATCATGCCACTATACTCCAGCCTGGGCAACAGAGCGAGATTCTACTTAAAAAAAAAAAAGCCAAGCGTGGTGATGCACTCTGTAGTCACAGCTATGCAGGAGTCTGAGGGGCATGATGGCTTGAACCTGTGAGGTTGAGGCTGTAAGGAGCTGGGATCGTGCCATTGCACTCTAGCCCGGATGGACTCAGACAAGCAGTGGGACCCTGTCTCTAGGGGGAGAAAATGACATTGGTTCCCTCAACCCTGAAATCCGTATCTCTGAATTCTTAGTTTTCTTTCTTTCTTTTCTTTTTTTTATTCTGAATCAGCACTGTACTCACATGCCTTTGGGTCATGAAATGAAGACACAGAAGACCTGTGTCTTCTGTACTTATCCTTCATATAGACAGCGTTTCTTTTCTCTTGGGAGTGTGAGGGAAGTTGATAAATCCTTTTTAATTTATAGCTTAGATTTGTTTAGCAGCTTTTAGTGTGTGCTCACATACATTGTAACATTTTAATTCTCATCATAACTTTGTGAAGAGGAAATTTAAAACTCAAAGAGATTAAATGACTTGCCTAAAGTCAGAATCCTCAAACTTGAATTTGGATCTTTTGACTTTCCACATCCCACACTGCATCTTCAACACATTTTCAACAGGCTTTTTTTACTCAATTTCTTTCTCTCCAGTGGAAAATAAATGGACATCATGTTAAACAGCTAAAGGCCCTCTTTGGAGAGGCCAGCCCTTCCAAGTCAGTAAGTTTATGCCATGCAGCCTCTCACTGCCTTTGCCAAGAATTCCCCTAACACACAAGTACAGCTGCTCTTGTTTATATTTCTTTCACCCTACCCTCAAATAGCCATATACTGCAGTTAAAGAAACTTCAAGGGGCTGTGTGCAGTGGCACACACCTGTAATCACAGCACTTTGGGAGGCCAAGGCAGGAGAATTTCTTGAAGCCAGGAGTTCAAGACAGTCATGGGCAACAAAGCAAGACCCTGTCTCTACAAAAAATTTAAAAATTAGACTGCGCTAGGTTGCCACCGCTGCTGCTGCCACCATCATGCCAGCCCGTCTGGTCTCTGTGAGGCCAGGTGACGCTCCAGAATGGGAGAAAAGCCAATTTGGGAGCAGATTGGATCCAGCTTCATTCAACATTATTACCAGTTATTTGAAAATGATAGAACCCAATTAGGCGCAATTTACATTGACGCGTCATGCCTTAAGTGGGAAGGACAACAGTTCCAGGGGAAAGCTGCCATTGTGGAGAAGTTGTCTAGCCTTCCATTCCAGAAAATCCAGCACAGCATCACGGCGCAGGACCATCAGCCCACGCCAGATAGCTGCATCATTGGCATGGTTGTGGGCCAGCTTAAGGCGAATGAAGACCCCATGATGGGGTTCCACCAGATGTTCCTATTAAAGAACATCAACGATGCTTGGGTTTGCACCAATGACATGTTCAGGCTTGCCCTGCACAACTTCAGCTGACCTCTCAGCCAGGCACTCACGCTGTTTCCTCCTCCCTCCTCTTCCCAATACTATTCCCACTCCTCCAGATGCTCCAAATATCATGCACAAATGAGCAGGGCTGCAGCAGGAGTGGGCGCAGTGCGCTGCTGCCACCAAGGTGTTGTGCATGATGTTTGGATGCTAGACTAGTTGCATCTGACGGGAGAAGTTTGTGTTGTACTAGCGCATGCCTTGGAAAGAGTTAAGTAATGCAAAAGGTTGTCCTTTTTTTTTTAAATCTACTGACAAGTTGCCCTAGTAACCCGAAGACGTGAAGGAGAAAGCAGCTGCCTCACCGCCCAGACGTTGATTTGTTCAGATGTTTCAATGCCTCATGATACAATAAAACCACAAAAATTTTAACAGTTAAAAAAAATAAAATAAAAATTAGCTGGGCACCGTGGCATGCATGTGCTTTTAGTTCGTCCCCACTACTCAAGAGGCCGAGGCAGGAGGCTTGCTTGATCCCAGGTGTTTGAGGCTGCAGTGAGCTGTGATGGTACCACTGCAACATGGTGGTGACACTCTATCATGGAGAGCAAGACCCTGTCTCACCAGAAAAAAAAAAAAAATCTAGAGGGAAGGAAGTTTTTTTATTTTTATTTTTTTAAGACAGAGTCTTGCTCTGTTGCCCAGGTTGGAGTGCAGCAGCACAGTCTCTACACATTGCAACCTCTGCCTCACAGATTCAAGCAGTTCTCCCTCAGCTTCCCAAGTAGCTAGGACCACATGCCTGGCTAACTTGTTTTGTTTTGTTTTTCTCTACGTCGGCCTCCCTCTGTATTTTTTTAGTAGAGGCAGGGTTTCACCATGTTGACCAGTATGGTCTTAAACTCCTGACCTCAGGTGATCTGCCCGCCTCGGCCTCCAAAGTGAGCCGATTATAGGTGTGAGCCACCATGCCTGGCTGGAAAGGAAGTCTTCTTTTTCTTTTTTTTGAGTTGGAGTCCTTTTATTTTTGAGACAGAGTCTTGTTCTGTTGCCCAGGCTGGAGTGCAGTGGCATGATCTCGGCTCACTGCAGCCTCTGCCTCCCGGGTTCAAGGAGTTCTCCTACCTCAGCCTCCCAAGTAGCTAGGACTACAGGCATGTAGTCTGGCTTTTTTTTTTTTTTTTTTTTTTAAGGTAGAGATGGGGTTTCACCATGTTGGCCAGGATAGTCTTGATCTCTTGACCTCGTGATCCACCCACCTCAGCAGGAAGTGTTAATTCAACCTCCAACCATCCCCTTTCCACTCTATTGTGGGAATGTCAGAGTGCCCTCTTCTGGTGAGAGGGAGATATTTTGTCAGTTTTTCCTGTTTAGAAATGGAGTATTTCCATTTGAAGATTTTTTGCACCCTCACTATGTTGGATGCTGTGGAATAGATTCCAGAATTAATCTTACTCATTAGACATGATCAGTTCTTACCTTTAAGATTCATGCCTATAATCCCATGGGAGGCCAAGGTGGGTGGATCACTTGAGGCCAGGAGTTCAAGACCAGCCAGCCTGGCCAACATGGCAAAACCCCCATCTCTACTAAAAATACAAAAATTAGTGGGGCATGGGGTGCACATCTGTAATCCCAGCTACTTGGAAGGCTGAGGCAGGAGAATCGCTTGAATCTGGGAGGCAGAGGTTGCAGTGAGCCAAGATTGCGCCACTTCACTCCAGCCTGGGCAAAAGAGCAAGACTGTCTCAAAACAACAACAAAAAGGAGCAATGACTTCTGCCTTCGTATAAGCTGAGGATTTTAATTCAAAAGTCCTTACCTTTTATTATGTTATTGGTGTCTCTGGCTGTTTATCCTGGTGTCCACCAGGGGCACTTGGCCTTAAAATTTCCAGTGGGGTGGCCGGGCATGGAGGCTCACGCCTGAAATCCCAGCACTTTGGGAGGCCGAGATGGGTGGATCACCTGAGGTCAGGAGTTCGAGACCAGCCTGGCCAACATGGTGACACCCCATCTCTCTAAAAAAAATAATAATTAAAAAACATATATAAATTTCCAGTGGGGTATGGAAATTGCAGACCAGCTCCCAGAAGCACTGTAACCTGTGGTGGTGCTGGGTAGCTCAGGGCATTTTTTTCCCCTGCATGTACATATGCATGCATACATCCCCCTTGTATGTGCATTTTTTTGTGTATCCTTTGTGGTATGTCCTTTTATCTGTTGGGTTTCTGCAGTTACATCTATTCATCTTTAAATACACAGTCTTTGAACCATAAATCAAGTGAAAAGAATTTTTCATTACCTACTCTGACCCTCATACTAGGTTAATTTAAGTAAACTAAAACAACAGTTCTGGAAGTTGGCAACACTAGAAATCTGGACTAGGGTTAGAAGAAAGAGATCATTAATGTAGGCTTTCTAGCTACCCTGGTTGATCCTAGGCTTCCGACTGACCCCTTGTACTTTTCCTGGATAGTGGGACCTTGTGTTCCACCCATATCATCTAAAATACCATATTCACTATATCATTGATTTTATAGGTCTTTAATCCCTGCTTGTGGAAATCAAAGAGGGGGTGGAAAAAGGGAAACAAGTGCTTCTTCTGCCTTGTTTATCCTATATTGGAAAGACAGCAGGCATAACCCACAAGGGCCCCTCTGTCACCTTCAGAGGACAGTTACCCAACCTCCTCTCATGTGGCAACCTGGTCACTTTTCCAAAAATAAAGGTAGGGATTAGGATTGGCTGTTCCTAGAACAAATGTTCTGGTTTATTAATACTTTTTGTAGTTGCCCTGTTTACCTCCAGGCCTGAACTTTAATTCCTTCACTATAGTATGAGACATAACTCTAACCCCAGGAAAAACTTCTCCCATTAAAATGATGGGTTGCAGGTCCCTTGAGGTTTCTACAGGGATGCTTGTCTGGGGAAGATGTACACAGATGTGAAATGGCAGCAATACCTATACAGAGACTCCCAACTCACAGTGACACAGCATGAACAGGGTGACATGCATCCAGAAATAGCCTCTCACATATTTACTGGCTTATTGTTTAGCTGAGGGGTTATCAAATCTGAGACTACTCTTTTGTCTTCCATTTAGTGAAGATATCCCACTCCCCCACCAAATAAAGGAAAAAGACCAAGATATTATTGGATTCTATCTTTTAATTTGGGAAAGAAGCCTGTGGATTTTATTTCTCTGAAGATTCCTTTCCATAGATGTGATTTCTAGTGGTAAGAAGCCTTATCAGTCTTCTACCTCAGTGATTTAAAAAAACAAAAACGAAAAACAGTTCTGCCAGACATAAATGTCATCTGTTTGTATTTATGCGGTTTGCTGTGCCCAATCGACCTTTCTGCCCAGGTTTAATGATGCCACTTAAAAAGCCATTCACATGTCCCCTCTCCTTTCAGAGCTTTCAAGCTGAAATTGATTTCCTTATTCAACCTCCCTCGCCCCCTTCCCACCTGCTGCCAACCCACGTTCCTTCCCCCAACCTGATTATATGGAAGTGCTATCATGGGGCAGTGGATTTTTTTTTTTTTATTGCCATGTCTATTAAGAAGTAGTGACAGTTCAGCTGCTAACAGATACCACCTGCTTTAGACTCCAGGAAGACAAGCATAAAAATCAGCTCATCAGTGGAGTAGTGCTCTGTGTCCTCAGCTAAGTGAAGGAACAATGCTTCAGGCCAGCAGGGGAGGACTCAGTATGGGGAGGAGCTCAGGACAGAGGCTGCTGCAACTAAAAACCCTGGCTTTGTTTTTGTTGGGATCAGAGATAATTGAGGACTTTGCTCTCTTTCCCACTTCCTGTGACCTCCCTAATACTCCCTAATAGGCTACCTGCTGGTATTAGAGCTTCCACTGCCTTGCTTATGCTTATTCCTACATACTCACCCCATCTCCACCTTTCCTGGCCCAGGACATTAGGCTCAGATTATGAGCTACCTTATAGTAAAACAATAGATTTAAATATTTTTACGTTGGGACCCTCAGGTAGCAATGAGGTATCTGAATAGGTCAATTACAATTTTGTTGGTAGAGGATGTTGAAGCAGGTGCATGATTCTTAGGATGGGGAAATAAAATGCCCAGAAAAACTGTAGTAAGGGGGGATTTGTTAAATGCATGACACTCCACAACTGTGCAATTTTCTTATGGCCCTACTACAACCTATGCCCACGAATACTCTGTCCACCTTGGCAGGAGATGGGGATAACTGAGCCTGTTGCATTGAGTATTTGTGCTCTCTGATTGGATGAACCCTAGAGGGTCAGGAGTACAAATTGGCTGGGGAATATGATATGACAGATGCTTGTCTCCTGAGCTTCTCTCTCAGACCTCCCACCATTTCTTTTCCTTTCTTTTGACTAATACTACCTGAGAAAAACAATCACACTCACTTCCCAGCATGACTGGTGCCCAGGGCAGAGGCTGCAACATTTCCTGTCACAGGAAGCAATTTGATGACAGCAGCAGTGGCAGCCCTGGAGCATCAAGCCATGAAAACAGCAGCATTGCAGCAGCTTTTCAAGCTAGTAACCCCCAATTCCCATTTCTCCACCTCCACCCACATGTGAACTTGGCCTCAACAGGAATATAACCTGGGCGGTCAAGAGCAGACCCTCACTCTGGACAATCCCTTTTGGGGAAGCAGAGCTTCTGCCCATACCTCCCAGTAGAGACTGTCCATCAAACTGCTCAACCCTGACTTCTTACCTTGCTTTTCACCATGAATATTTTTTTTTAGGGAGTTTTGGTCTGTCACCAGTCTTGCTCTGTCTCCAGAGTGCAGTGCCGTGATCTTGGCTCACTGCAATCTCTGCCTCCCAGGTTCAAGCAATTTTCCTGCCTCAGCCTCCCAAGTAGCTGGGACTACAGGGCACGCCACCACACCCAGCTAATGTTTGTATTATCAGTAGATACTGGGTTTTACCATGTTAGCCAAGATGGCCCTCACCTTGTGATCCGCCCGCCTCGGCCTCCCAAAGTGCTAGGATTACAGGCATGAGCCACCGTGCCTGGCCTGTTCCTCCTTGTTAAGGCCTTTCCTTCTCCCACTCTGTAAGAGGATGAGTCTGTCTATGGTTGCCAGTGCCAAAATTTCAAGGTTGCATCCAGTCAGTCACCTGAACTCTGACCAGGGTCTGACTTTCACCCCATTCCTGCTGGGATTGCCCTAATTTCAAACCTCTTCATTCTGTTTCAGCAGACATTTTTTTTTTTTTTTGAGACTGGGTCTCGTTCCATCACCCTGGCTGGAGTGCAATGGCGTAATCATGGCTCACTGCAGCCTCGACCTACCAGACTCAAGTGATCCTCTCACCTCAGCCTCCTGAGTTGCTAAGACTACAGGTGCATATCACCATGCCCAGCTATTTTTATATTTTCTGTAGAGACAGGGTTTCACCATGTTCCCAGGCTA